CCCCAAAACCCCAAAACCCCAAAACCCCGAGGTCATGAATCAAATTGAAGAGTGGTAATATAATTACTTTCATACATTTGGAACAATAAAATGGGGGTTTGAGGGATCTTTATCTGATTAAATTAGCAAAAACTGAATGATTTACCCGAAATGTCCTCTGAGTCATTCTATAGGCACATAAGTTCTATACAGCAGTCTAAAATAAGTGGGAATTAATAATAGTTTGGTAAAGTTTCCTTCCTTAATTGTGGCTAAAATTCCTTCCAAGGTGATATATCTCCTACCTCTTAAAAGATATGACCTTGAATACGTTCTTGGGTCTTGTGCTTCCTCTTTTGGACAGTTGATCAGAGTATTCTTGCGATTACTGGATAAATGCATCCATAAATCTAATAATATGATAGAAATCATGTTTGACATAACTGAATTGTCAATTAACTTAAAAAGTTCATAAAAATCCCTTTATTCTAGACAAATATCTGGAGAAGTGGTAAGCAAGATAGTCTGGAGTATCTTTAAAGAATCGGTCTGCGAATGAGTTCTGAGTAATAGTAGTCTTCAGATTTCTTCAATATTTGTAGCTATCTCATAATTTGGTGCTATTATCAAATTCGGGAATGTTGCGCTTTGCTTACTTTCTCAGAGTACCCATCTCATAGATCGTAGCCTCAGCAGCTAAATGATTAATCTCTTTAAGTAATTGTGCGTAATAATCACATGAGCATTAAGCAAACAAAATACAGCTATTATGCTTTGATAAATCTGAGGTTCACCAAAATATAAACGAAGAAGTAATTTATGGAGAAGCTTAGAATTTTCTTAAATTACTGGCAAATGAAAAATTCAGATGCTGGTACGATCCTCCTTAGTTTCAAAGGATCTGGACTGAGTAACACTTATTATGATCCATCTAGCTACCATATTCTTAAAATTTGTTTTGATGATAGTATTGAATATAATACCTATAAGACCTCATTCTCAGGAATCTGAATGGGTCAAAAGTACCTAGACTCACCTAAAAATGCTAAAATTATGCTTCTAACCTAGAAATTTCAATCTCTTAGTGAAAGAATATAAATTAGGGGTAAAATTTACGACCAAATCTATGAAATGCTAGCAAGTTATAGCAAAGGAGGACCCATGAGCATAAAAACTTCATAAAGTATTTTATCCTAATGAATAGAGTCTGTGGGAGTTATCCAAATTTTATCTGGAGAATATTAGACAAATGGCATACAACAAATAATGAAATGGTTATAAACTTTTATGATTCCCATATCCCAATAAACCTGAGGCTTATGTCTCCACCCAGGAAGCAACCTTGGTGCTCTAGCAGCTAGATTTAGCCCCTTTCAGCTGCTCCTGAGCCTCTAAGCTTGGTCTCGATTAAAAAGTTAGATTTTACGATTTAGGTGGTGAAAACTGGCAATTAATAGCTCAAAACAATGAACTAAAAATGTTCTAGAAGAAGCAGATGCTTGTGAAGGGGGTTAAAATGGTAAAAAATTAGTAGAGGTAAGCAGGGCCTTTGGAGTCATGCTCTTTGTAAGCCATTTGGAATCTAGTAGGTTTACAGAAAATTAAAAGTCCTAGGAAGGTATTAATGAGTTTTTACTGCTTTTATGGAATAATGAGGTTTAATGTTTTTATGAAGCTGAAGCAATATTTTTCCTACTTAGATTCCAAACTGCCTCGAAATAAGCTCGTTCCTTATGTTATTTTCCTTTTTCAAATTCAATTTTTACTGGAAATACAAATGTACTATTAAAAAGTTCCTTTTATTAATATAAAAACTGTTTTATCAGACGAATTATTTAAAGACTCTTAATCCCATAATCTATCTATTCCTTAACCTACAGCCTTAGTTCTGTTACTCAATTGTCTCGGGAGTGCCTTCCATGATTTGTTTGCAACAATAAATATGCCCTTGGGCCTAAACCAGAAAAGTAGAAAACTAAGTTTATGGGTAAATTATTATATAAGTTATCAAATTATCAGTCATAAGACTTAGTTACTGGCAAATTCTCTAAGTGAACAACACTTTGAGAATCTGGTCCGAAGGAAGACGTCTTAGTAGCTTCTTGTCCTTCTTCGTCAGGTTAAGTCCTCTCCATGTAGAAGAAGTCTTAGCGTCATAGGTGTTTGGTTTGTAATCCTTGAGCTTCCTCTTAGACCTCCTCTTCACCTGTTGAGCAGGCAGTTGGGCAGCAAGTTCCTCATCGCTTGGCAACTGTCTGATGAATTCAGGCATAGCTGCTACCTCCTCTGATTCTTCGAAATCAGCAATGTTTGCCTTGCCTTTATTGTCTTTCAGAGTGTTAGTGAATTGCTTCGTGAAGTTAGGCATCTGAGGAGAACACTCATCCTGGTCATCGAAGACTTCATCTGTGCAGTCCCAAATGTCTTGGGAAACATCAGATGCATTATTATTAAAGTTCATGCTCATAAATATTAATTATTATTGAGTTAACACAATAATTTCTTATTAATACGGGGTTTTGGGGTTTTGGGGTTTTGGGGAG